ACACACTGAATGAAATTCATGAATAGATATTCACAGGCTTAGTTTTTATGTAGATAAAATATTCTTAAATACTTCAATTAGTTAGTAATAAACTGATAAGTATGAAATTAGTATTTTAGTGACAAATGTTTTCAAGTTTAAATGTTGAACGTAATTTATCGACTATATCACACCAAATAGATACAAAGCTTTATGATGAATATTGCATCTTCAAAGGGATTATCAGTTAGCTTGGTAGACAAAGAAATGCACACCAACATATACGTCTAGTAGCTCATTATCATGAGCGTTGGAAGTAGTGTTAATGGGTTGAACGCCCAAAATCTGTTTAACTTCTGGAGTAAATCATAAATTCAAAATATGTTAGTCTGTTAGATAGAATTGTTTGAAAGTTTATTTCATCTTCTCTTCAACTGTTCACTTTAAATAGGTTAGTCTAGATTATTACAAATAAACCTAATTAATAATCATTTACAACCTGAAATTATTACTTAAATACAAATTTAAGTAGTTAAGCCCTAATCAGCTCATTCTATATCATAAAAGCTATTACATATATGCAAGAGATAACTTTAGTTAAATAACCATCGAAAACTGGGAAGTTCTGAACCGTTTTACCGGACTCGAATAAGACTCGTCAATAGTCAATGTCGGTAACTTTACTTGGTGTCGAACTCAGGACCTACAGGCCTCTTGGTGAGCGCCTAACATTCAAACGGCTTAGTAACTATCTAATATACCGATAAAACTGAACATTTTATTAAAAAAGTCAGAACTTGTGGTTCTATGAAATACTGTACCTACAGTGATGCTGTCAGAACAGTACCAAAAGGTTCCGTCATGTAGCAAGCTTGATAACAATGATTAATGATTACAGATTTCTCCAATAATTATAAACTTATATAACGGACTTCTTGATGTTATCCCGTAGAATGATCATACGTTTGTTACCAAAAACAAATCTGCACAAGCACATCCCTGTGTAACTCCACCTGGATCCCCTCCGGGGGCTACTGCAGGTCCCAAGCCCGGATAAAGGAGGAGGGTTGGGCATGGGTTAGCGACTCCATCCCGTAGAAAACTAACTCGCTAAAAAAACGCTAACCAGAAGAAAAAAATTATTCGAAACATCCCTGTGTAATAACCTACTTCACGCTCGCCTGTGTTTTTTCACTCGTTGGATTTAACCTAACAAGTTGCATTGTGGCCAATAGTTTCAGTTATCATGCATCACATAGAGGTAAACAGGTGGTAAATTTGAATCTAATTTCGGTTATATGTAAGGACTATTAGGAGAACCTTTGGAAAACTATGTAATCTCCGTAATTTCTAATCAATGTGATCTAACTTTTTCTACCACATTAAAAAACAGTGCACATGATATTGAGGCCACATTGAAATGTAACTTGGATGATTTGGCCGACCCTAAAGACTAAATAAGTATGCCTGAATCCGTAGGAAAAAGAGTTAGTAGCTCCATCAGTATTTCATAAAATTCATTTTCACGACAATCATTGATCACAAAATTACATGCCTATTCCTTCGAACTACTTCACACATAACCAACCATCTGAGACGATTCCATAACCCCGTGAACGAAAGTGGTAGGACAAATTTGGTCAAAGTGAGATCAAGTACGAAAATGTATATCACAAGTTAAACATGATTTATTATTTAAAACACTAATTATAGAGATATGTGAATTTTGTGGGTCATTCATAAACCTCTGAAGTTAAGACATGGCTATTAGGCTTAATTATACCCTTTCTAAACAAGTAATAGATGGTGACCGCAAGAAATCAGGAAATTCAGTCCTGATTTTCCATCTCGTCTATCATTAATCCATGAGCCATGAATAAAGTAACCTTTCATAAGTTTACTATCAATCAAGTAAATTAAAATGAAAATTGCTTGGTCTGTGTTATAAACAAAATACATGGCAGAATGTAAGTGTATGCTACATGCTATTCCATAAACAGCATTTGATTTGCTGTCAATTTTATTGCCGATTTCACCTAATAATTTAATATGTTTTGAGCAACAAGTAGAGTTTATTTCTACTGAAATTCTTATGTGATACATGAAAAACAATCATTCATATCACAATGAGGGTTGTAACGATCACTAAATTTCTGATTGAGATCATGAACCGATTGATGTTAGACCACCATTGAAAACCTAGAAGCACTGGGTGGCCGTTCCGTCCTATTATGGGACTCCTCTGCAGTGCGCATCCATGATCCCGCTCACGGGATTCAAACCCAGAGCCTTCAGTTTCGCGAGCGAATGCCTAACCTACTGGACCACTGAACCCATATCCAATGGTGTTAATGTTTAACCTCAACCAATCCGCAAAATTGTGCGACCATCTTCCATTGTACTGAGATAGACACCTGTCTCTACCAGACATGGATTAGCTCCACCGGTCACGGTTTCTCACTAGAACTCGGAGAAGTCCCTCACGAAGCGTGTCACTACTGAACACATGACAGTTATCAGTATAGGGGTTGTGGACTGCTTAGGAGTCCCACAATAGGACAAAACGGTCGTCCAGTGCTTACAGGTTTCCAACGGTGGTTCATGATCTTAATAAAATACAATCATTCATATTTGAAATATGCAAAAAAGCTAAAAATACTTTTGTCGATTACAATTGACTAGTCTCTGTACCGAATTTTCGCATCATTCAGTAGAATTTATTGATCACTATGTTATTGTTTCTGGTAGACGTTTTCATTCAAATAATTTTAAATTTCATCGTAAAGAGGTTGGAGTCAAGTTAGTCATCTGAAGTTCATACTTGATCTAAACTGTAATAAGATTATCAAAAATTATTTGATGTTGTGATCAGTGAGCCTGTCAATTATTCAGTGTGTTTACTCCTAATGATCCAGGACTTCTCATCGCTCCGCACGATTTCAAATCAACATGACTGTATATCTTTTATTATTGTATGACAAACAATCTAAGTGTTAAGTAACGATGATAACTAGTTACCTCTTTAATAGTTCCAAATAAATTGGGCACTGGATAGAATGTTAATAATAAATATATTTTTATTATATCCCAATGAGTAGAAGATTGTATTTCTGACATTTCGTGACTTAGTGTAAGCCACTTCTTCAGCGAATAAGTAATCAAATCAAAATCAATCCAGGTTTAAATAGTACAACGTTACTATAGCACAATGGTTCCGTTGTACTATTTCAAGTTGGATTAATTCTGATTTGGTTATTTATTCTCTAAAGAAGTGGCTTACATTGAGTCAAAAAACGTCAGAAAATCTAATTTTCCTGCTCATTGGGATATTAAAAATACATTATTTATTTATTGAATAATATAGTTTATCTCAGTCTACATTTTACCGAACAGTTATCTTTGTTTCCACATGGTCTATAATATGATGACTGTTAACAGTGTAAACCTAAGGATTTCACATGTTTTTTCTCACTTCTCAAAATTTATTACATTAATAGAAAAAATCACTTAAAAACATTGTTTACAATTGTCTCCCCCATAATATTGTTGTGTTCACTTATCATTTAACGTACATACAAACAACTAATTACCTACTTACAATCATAGAAACAAAAAAAAATGTTTGTCATATAAAAGATCCAGTGACAAGATAACTCCTTACTTATTCCTAAATAAATGATAATCTTATAGTAATTAAGTATACTCTCAACTGTCAATTTGATATTCATTTTATTTCTTTTACAAATCACTTCAACATGTAGTAAACGTGTAATACCCCCTTTTAAAATACTTAAAACGAATCAACTTGTATACTCAATTGAAATGACAACAACAACAACAAAAATATAAGACTTATTTCATATATAAATTATTAAAAAAACATTTCATTTCGAATTCTCAACTATAGACAATGATATCATCATCATCATCATCATCATCATCATCATCATCATCGTTATCATTATCAGAATATGACTTTCTTCACTCATCAAAATGAATTATATTTGTGTATCTATAAAAAGAATTCATTGATGAATTCGATTAAATTTTCTATATTGTATACCTAGAAAATTATATTTTACGTAAATTAGTACGTCATCTATTGAATTTCACAAGAACAACAACAACCACAACAACAAAAACAAAGAGAACAATCAACTCTTTCATTTTTTCTTCATATTGTAAATCATTACTTTTATTGTAACTAATCAAATATCATTTAAGTTCTAGTTCTATACATACAACATATGGATAAAATAATGAAATTGTAAAAAAAAGAACAATATTTCATAGGTTACTTCATTTGATAATCATTTTTTATTTTGCCATTAAACTAAATATGAACCTTCAAAAATGTGCTCGAAAAATGTTCTAATTATTGATTTTATAATTTTTTTCTAAGTTAACCAATCAACGATTAGTTTACATTTGATTGGTCAGTATGGATAATAGTGTTAACCTTTTCACTGATACTTTCATATTTCTTATTTCTAGTTAATTACTGTTTGTATAATTTTATTGAGATTAAGTTGAACAATTTCAATTGGATTTATACTACAAATTATTAATGCAATTCATACTTCTTTCATGTTATATTACGTAATTGGATAAATTAACTATCGAGTTTCTTTTCTCTTTAAGTAAATAAGTAAGTTTATGATTATTTGACTAGATATATATTTTACGTACTTATTAACAAGAATAATATTTCATATGTACATACAGGGTGAGACTAGAATTGATGCACGACCTTTCAGCGACGTTAAAGCGACTTCGAGAGTGTTCACTTAATAACTAGAACCAAATGAAGGTTATAAACTTATGCAAGGAATTAGAATTATGATTTACAATTGATGGTTAAAGTTAGGAATTTAGTTTAGAGTTTTCATCACAAATTGACATCAGCTATAATGCCAAAACTTTATTTAGCCAAATGGATGAGTGAATTTTGCGCCAAAATCTGAGATCTGTTATCTTGTACGTGATTGGCTCATCCATAAATTATAATCTTGCCACATACCGATACATTTGCTACATTTCTACTAGGTTGAAAAAGAATTTCAATTCTTGATCAGTTCTTATTTCAGTTTGTTGTTAGAATTATGACTACATTTTCATCAAAATGTTTCAAAATTTTTTTGTCTTCGGTAAACAAACTTATGTATTACAACAAATAATATCTGTAATTTAAATCTTCATACATAATACCCAGTCAAATAGTTTTTAATTAAGAATACAACAAAAAGTCTCTATCTCTGAAGCATCCATTTCCTATAAATATTCAGTATTGTTTACAATTTTATCGGATAAGTGACAAATGACATATGAGTTCTTTATCAACCTGATAGTGAAGTGATTCGTTTACATGTTTTCTATGTTGAGGCTTAAATTTTACTAAATTATTATCACTACACATTTTTCATCCTATATTCCCATTAATATTGCATAATTTATAGAAGATACTAAACATGATGCATGTGGTATGTGTTTTTTTAATGTCTTCTTTCTCAAAATGTAATCAAGATTCTCCCATTATGATAAGAATAATTATTATTATTACTGTTATTATTATTATAGTGGGTAGGTGTTCTGTCATATGCGAAAAACATTTGTCATATTGAAAATAAACTATAGAGGAAAAAGCGCTTCCCAATTGTTTCTCTTCTTCTGTATACGTATATATATATATTCTACAGGACTGAGATATCAGCTTCAAAGACTGAAAAAAGATATATACATATACAATCTTGAGTACACTTAGAATTTACCAGTGAGTATACACTTCTACAGTTATCCTGATTTATTTTTATACAACCCTAGTTTCCATATTTTTCTAAGTACAAATAATAACTAATTTCTACACAACAATTTCAGTTAAATGTTAGTGAAGTAACTTTCGTGATGGTATTCAATAGTCAAATTCACATATATTTACTATGGTCTGATTTACACCTATTTTGTTAATATCCAGGGATATTATTACACTATTCTATCTGAAGTTGTTTAAGATGTAGAATCAATTACCTTATGATATAAGATTTAAACGACCAAGCTAAATCATTTTATCAATTTTGCAATTGATCTTAAATCAAAACCTGATGAATATTCCCCATTTAAAACTTAATTCTAATTTTTCTAGTCATAGTGTACTGTATGATGTACTACTTGTATAACACCTTGAAAAAAAATCAATATCAATAACAATGTAGGTGTAAAATTTGAAAACATGGTCTTGTAACGTGATACTATGATTTTATTGTCAATCACTTAAGTTGAAGTATATTTTGTGTGCACTACACTTGTATGTTATAATTTTGTAAAGTTTAAGTAATTAGAACCATAATTTCTAACTGAAATTAAGAACTATTACTCATTTAAGTGATTAAATAATAATTCATAACTCTTAGCTCATAGTTTAGTGGATAGTATTCAACTATTAACAAGGTTGAGTTTGATGCTAAAGCTTAACAATTGATGGTTGAGTTCTTAAATTCAATTAGTAATTTAGTGATAATTCATTAGATTTCCTGATCAGGTTACTATGAGGTGAAAATATGCATCGTTTATTTTATAAGGTCATCATCGTATAGATAAACAACAAAGAGAATAAAATGTTGCTAGATTTACACCACAAGTTTAAACTATTAATATTTATCATTCATTTCTATTAGCAACTGATATCAAATAATGTATCAGTGGAGTGAACTAATGACAACTTAATACTTTGTAAGCCATTCCATCCAAGTTATACAGAATAATACAATATATTTACATGGTCTTCCTCGCTTTTGGATTAATAGTTTGGGTTATAAGTGAGAATTTCGTGTAAACTATTTGAATATCCAACATTGAAATATAATCGAAATCCTCTTGAACTAGAATATAGACACATTCCCATCTTAATACAATTATATTATAGATAAGCAATTTTGAGTATTTTATAGCACATGGATTAACCATCACTCAACTCGTTAGAAACGGGATTCATTTGAAGAAAATTATGACAAAATTAGAAAATTCGTTTCGCTTTTTTTGCTTATTTTAGATATTCAGAATTGAGCTGTTTTAAAGAATTACTTCATTTGTTCTGTAATAATGAATAAAATTCGTAATCTATGTAATCAGATGGTACATTGATTCATACAACTAATTCATGAAATTGTAATAATAATACTCTTAAACTAAATAGAATATACTTGTATTATTGATGGAATCATCATTGTCATGTGCTTCTTTTATGATGCATATAATGTAATCTACCTTTTATGTACTAGTTTCACTTACAGATTCTCAGCTGATTGGGTTGTAGCTTTATACATATATATATGTATTCCAGAGTAATATATCATGAATTACTAAGGTTGGTGTTTTATAATTAACCAAAGCATTAAAATATAATCGTCTTACTACTACTAATAATAATAATAATACGGTTAATAAAGTTATATTAAATCTAGATATATCCATATATTTCACTGGTTTACTTGTTCAAACATGTTATTGAAGTAGTAAACACTTTATAATGTGATCTTTAAAAATGAAGTTAATTTTAAGCTAGAAATATGTATTGAAATAACTTCTTGTAGTTTACTAAAAAAGAAGGGATAAAACCATTGGCACTTTTGAAATTTTCCAAGGCTATTTTACTAAGAATATTCAAATTGTCCAGTATCTAATTGATTTCACTATCAAGCAATATTATGTAGAACTTTTGATTGGCATACATTGACAAACAAACATTGAACTGTTGAAGAATATCGAATTATCAGAAGCAATTCAGACGGAAGTTGTTTGAATAATCTAGATATTTATATTGATAAGAGTGTGTACAAATTATATGCAATTAAATATAAAATATGACAAATGAAGACACGAAAAATGGAGCATAATCAAAAAATAACAGTTATCATCATACCTAAAAGTCTATACGGAGAGTAAGAATTAATCAAAGAATTTTAAAGTTGTCACTAATACCTGATGATCGCTAAAACAATACAAAATAATCAGTTGATATGATAAAACCTTAGGGAATTCAATGACATATGAAAAAAACTCGAATAAGTTTACAACACCAAGGTGTAAATAGAGAAACAAGAAAAATCAACTAAACTCCCCCCACAAAAAATAACCTTTAATTCAAAGATTTTAGGCAAGTTGGCAATTAAAATTAGTTTGTTTTATAGTTTAATCAAATTAACTGTCTTGGCTTCACCGTATTCACCAATAACTCAAGATTTTGTCTATAAATTTTAAAGTATCATTTTTTGAAATATATATATATATATATATATATATATATATATATATATATATGTATATATATATATATAATGATATTTAACACGTGTCCTAGCAACGATGGTCAGCCTAGTGGGCTGCATTTGCAAAAGATTGATCTTAGTTGATGCAACTTCGAAAAACTTAGGATTACTGGACAAACTTTTCGTTCTTGTATGTGACTCTTCAGTAGTTCGTAGTCACGACCTCCCAGGGATTGAACTCAGGATAAGTAACCACATCATTTTCTTACTAATGATTAACTTTGAGAGGTCATTACCAGAACTCTATTGAGATATCTAAGAATGACAGAGTAAGAAAGTTGTCACCAATGAGATTGGTGAAATTTATTGAAGTTTGAATTATTCCCTAAGACATCACCTCAGTGGTTCTAACGGTTAAGCGTTCACCATCAGATCAAAAGGTTCTGAGTTCAACCCTTGGCTGAGTTGTGAGTACTCTCTGCTGAGAAGTTCAAATGAAAACATTCTGTAACTAATTCTGGATACAAAACAATTCAAGCAAACTATCCAGTTTCCGTACGTCAATAAAGAGAACATTTTATTTATAAGATTCTGTTTACTGAATATCAAATTCACTTTTTTAAAAAAACTCGGCCTACTTTGATTTCCATCTAAATACACCAGTATTACTCGTTGAATCTAAAAGCGATCAACCTGTGATACTACTGAGCACCAACAAGCCTGAAATCCATTTTTCTGAGGGCTCTATAAATGACCAGTACTGTACAATTTTGACCCTAACACAGACCAAACCCAGGACCTTTAGATGAATAAGTTCTCATCCAGTGATCTATTACTCTTTGATCTCCCTTCTGATCTCACTGAATCATGACTCTTTAAAGTCATGATTTACTTATATTAAAATCATATTATTAGTTTAACATTGATATTCTATTTGAAGACAAAGTACTTCAATGTAGGTCATGATTGATTTTTTTATCAAAGAGAAAAATAACACAAAACTAATCATTATAATAAACAACTACCATTCAACACTATGGTCAATGCGTTAAGTAAACAGTATACTTTTGTTAAATAAAAACAACCTTAATTTTGAATAACACTAAGCCTGGTTTTATTGTTATCAGTAAAAATAACTTCTGCTTATCATTCAAAATTGCGCAAACACACCTACACATGGTATGTTTAAGAATTCTTTTAAGTTTATTGATCTAAATACAAATGCATATCTTCTTTAATAAATTAAACAATGCATGATGAATCACTAGTTGGTATGAAACATCCTTGTTAGCATTATAATTGTCAAGCTTATTGTAGTAAACTGTTTATAGATTTATATTTAACCCACTGGTTTTTATGAATAATGATTAAAATGATGACAACATTGAATAATGATACAGTATGAAAAATTAAAAGCTGCCTCTTAAGATCAATAGTTACTAAAAATAATATCATCCTTGCTAATAGATCAACATCAAAACATAATATAAGTGATTAGTGACCTCCAGACCACTGATCCTGCATCCAATGATCTTAATGTATATATTCAGGTGTCTAACTTCTAGTGTTAAGCAATTTACCCACCGAAGACACTGGAAGATGATCGTGCATTCCTGGGAACTGATTAAAGCTAGACATTAATATCGTTAGATGCCAGCCTGGTAGTCTGGAAGTTGTAAGTCCATGCGCGAGATCGAATGTCATCGGTTTTATGCCTACCTGTGGAGTCATGGATAACCACTGCTGAGGAGCCCCATACCAGTGCAAATCAGTGCATCCACATTTTCAGTGGTGGTTTACCCTAGACTGGTCTACGATTTCAGTGACATAAGTAAATTAATTGTACAAAATAAACATAAATACGTCTCATTTAAAATACGAGAAATGTTAAATAATAAGCTTTGTAGCTGTCACTCACCTTGTCACCAAATCTAATGAAGATAAGACAAGGTGTTGTGTTTACTAGCTATTATCACTTTAGATGGTGTTTTCTACCACATTAGTCCTTCTAACTTTGAAGATAATTGTTTTGTTAAGGTCAGAAAAATAATAATCATTTAGTTTCTTTTGTGTTGTATCAATAACAAAGCATTTGGTTTTTAACTCTTTATTATAGTGATTAAAACTATCATAACTAACCAAGTTTGTAAAATTAAGGAGAATTGAAGTGTTTTATAATATTAGACTGATTGTAGGTAGTCAGCAGGAAATTCCATACA